TGATCTATAAATCATGTAGTGTAGACTGGATGATATTGATGCTTATACTGAAGGTACTGTTGAAAATTGGAAGCAATGAGAGCCTGTCAATTAAAGTATAATTAGAGCATTATAATCACTAAACAATATCAATTGCCATTCTGAGCGTTGCTTTGACGGTGGTAGACCTCTGGCGCCAGCTTCAGAAAAAAACAACTTTCTATTTCATAGCAAAAAAAAAAAAAAAACCTCGCCTCACCGGCTTAAAAAAATATATATGTTGTGCCAGGTCTTAAACAAGTACTAGTAAAAACAATTTTCCTAGAGCAAAAATACGCCTGATCAAAGCCCCGACCGGGTTTGACTTTGATCGGCAAATAATTCACGTTCTCTGCATTTGTGAGTCGGCCGACTGACAGGCTGGATCTATTGTAACTGGACAATAAGCATCCGCAGGGAAACTGTAGTTTTAAATTTATTTCTGTGCAACTGTATCAGGTTATATCCACAGATTCAAGTCGATATCATTACTACTTCTACTACTGCTACTACTACTACTATTACTATTACTGCTACTACTACTGCTAGCTGTAGTAGTAGTGGTATTATTAGTAGTATTAGTAGTGGTATTAGTAGAACAGGTATAGCAATATTAAAATTAGCAGTAGCATAATAGTAGGAGCATTAGTAGTAGCAGTAGTAGTAAAAATAGTAATAGTAATATTAGTATCAATATTATCATGATCGTCATTGTTTGTTTATTATTTTCATTATTATCATCGTACTGTTATCATCCTTATTATTATTGTTGTTGTTATTATTATTATTACTATTATTATTATTATTATTATTATTATTATTATTATTATTACCATTATTACTATTATTATCATTTTAATGATAATAATAAATGTAATTATAATGATTGTTTTTATTATTTGTTGTTATCATTATCATCATTATTTTTTTATTATCATTATATTATATAATGATAATGATACTACTATTACTACTAATAATGATGACGATAATAATAATAATAATAATAATAACAATAATGATAAGGATGATAACAATAGTAATTACTATTGTTATCATCATTATCAGTAGTAGCAGTTATTATCTAAATGTCATTATTATCATTTTTTGATATTGTTATAATAATAACCATTATAATTACATTTATTAGTATCATTATTATTATGATCATCATTACCATCACCATTATTATTTTCTTTACAATTTTTGTTATCATTTTTTTGTTTTGTCTTTGCCTCGCCCGGGGTATGTCCATGAGGGGAGCCCGGTTATTTTGTTATCATTATTACATTCATCATTATCATTATTATCACCGATGACTCCATTTCACGTGGTTCTGGCAGGTGGCAGCCGTTGCCTCTGCCCGTCCTTTTAATCTCAGACTCCAGCCACTGCATCACTATTATTATTAATTATATCATTATCAATATTATTATCATTTTTATTATAACTACTGTTATTATTATTATCATTACTGTTTTTATTATTATTATTATCTTTGTTGTTATTATTGTTATTATTGTTATTATTATTATTATTATTATTATTATTATTATTATTATTATTATTATTATTATTATTATTATTACTATTATTATCTTTGTTGTTATCGTTATTATTATTATTATTATTATCATTATTATTGTTATCATTATTATCATTATTATTATTATTATTATCATTATTATTATTATTATTATTATTATTATTATTATTATTATTATTATTATTATTATTATTATTATCATTATTATTATTATTATTATTATCATTATTATTATTATCATTATTATTATCATTAATATTATTATTATTATTATTATTATTATTATTATTATTATTATTATTATTATTATTATTATTGTCATCATCATCATTACTATTATTGTTGATTATTATAATTATTACGATGATTATAATTACAATCATTTTGTCATTATCATCATCATCGTCATCATTATAATTATTATTGCTATTATTATCATTGATATCATCATCATTAATAGTATCATATTATGATGAAAATAATGATAATAATGATAGTAGTAGTAGTAGTAGTAGTAGTAGTAGTAGTAGTAGTAGTATCATTAATATTAATATCATTATCACTATTACTATTAATGTTATTATATTATTATTGTTCTTCTTGCTGTTCTTATTATTGTTATTATTATTAACATTATTATCATTACCATTATTATTGTTGGTGCTGTTTTTGCTGTTATTATTATTATTATTAATATTATTATTATATTACCATGTTATAAAGTCGTAATAGCAGCAGTAGTCGTAGTTGTAGTAGTAATAGTAATAGTAAAAATAGTAATATGATAACGATATTAGTGTTATATTCATAAAATTGTGTAATATCAATGTTAATAGTATAATGATGATAAAGATATTAATAACAGCAACAGTAATTGTAATAATGACTACAACTACTACTTCTACTGTCATCATTATTATTATTATTACTTTATTATTATATCATTATTAATATCATCATTATTACTATCATTATCATAGTGACATTATCGTTACTGTCATAATAAAAATAATAATAACAAAAATGATAACATCAATAATAATAATAATTATTATTATTATTATCATAATAATGATAATAATAATAATAATGATAATAATAATAATTATTATTATTATCATTATCATTATTATTGTTAATATTATTATTATTATTATTATTATTATTATTATTATTGTTATTATTATAATTATTATTGTTATTATTATTGTTGTTGTTGTTTTGTTGTTGTTGTTATTATTATCATTATTATTATTATCACTATCATTATTATTGTTATTACTACTACTATCATTATTATTATTATTATCATTATTATTTGTATCATCATTACTGTTATCATCATTATTATAATCATAGTTACTATTATCATTGTTACCATTATTATTATTGTTATCATTATCACAATTATTATTATGGTTATTATTATCATTATTAATATAATGATTATTCATATTGTTATTATCATTGCCATTATTATTATTATTGTTATTGTCATTATCATAATTATTGATAAAAGGATTCTAAACATTTATTTTTATTATTATTATCATCATCATCATCATCATCATCAACATCACCATCATCATCATTATTACCATTATTATCCTTATTATTAACATTATTGTTAGTACTATTATCATTATCCTTATTATTATTATTTTTTTGTTATTATGATTATTAATATTATTATAATTATTGCTATTATTCTTATTATCATCCTTATTATTATTATCATAATCATTATTATCATCAATAATAATGTAATAATAATAATAATAATAATAATAATAATAATAATAATAATAATAATAATAATAATAATAATAATAATAATAATAACAATTATTATCATTATTATTATTATCATTATTATTATTATTGTTCTTGTTTTTGTTGTTATTATCATAACTATTATCGTCATTATCATCATGACTATTGTTATTGTTATTAATAATCTTGCTATCAGTAATATTCTTACTATAATATTACTATCATTATCACCATTACCATAATTCATAATAATCATTAATATCATAATTGCCATTACGTAATCATCATTATCACTTTTTTATTATAATTATCAATATTATCATTATTTTTTCATTATTGTTGTTTTTATTATTAGTTCTCATCATCATCCTAATTACTTTTTTATTATTATGTTTTAATTATCACTATTATTTTTATTTCTATTACTATTATTCCTATTTTCATTTATCGTTGTTATTATCATTATTTTCATTAGTATCATTGTCCTTATTATTATTATTATTAGTAGTAGTAGTAGTAGTATTAGTATTATTATGATTATTATTATTATGATGATGATGATTATTATTATTATTATTATTATTATTATTATTATTATTATTATTATCATCATCATCATTATTATTTCTATTTTTATCATCATCATTATCATTACTTTTATTATTATTATTATTGTTATTAATATTATCATTGCTATTATCATTATCATTATCAGAACCGTTTTTATCATTATAATCATTATCATTATGATAATAATAATAATAATAATAATAATAATTGTTATTATTATCATTATTATTATTATTATTATTATTATTATTATTATTATTATTATCAGTATTATTGTTATCATTTTCATTATTATCATTAATATCGTTATTGCCTTTATCATTGTTATCATTATCATTATCGTTATTATTATTATTATCATTATCATTATTGTTATTATTATTATCATTATCATCGTCATATCATTATCATAAATTTCGTTATTATCATTACTATCATTATTATTATCATCGTCGTACTTATTATTGTTAATTTCATTATTATCATATATATCACCATTATTGTCATTTATCTTTTTGCATTTGTCTCTGTTTTTGTTGTTACTGCTATCATCATTTTTGTTATTATCTTTAATATTCTTATCATCACCACCATAATCGTCATGTCAAAGATAATCATCTTTCTTATGATTATTGTTAATATTATCTTTATTATTATGATTATTATTAGCAATATTATTATCTTTATTATTATGATTATCATTATAATTCATTATTATTATTATTATTATTATTATTATTATTATTATTATTATTATTATTATTATTATTATCTTTATTAGTTGTATCTTTATCATGACCATGACCATGATCATTATAATGAGCATGCTAATCATGATCATCAACCTCACTTTCACAATGTTTTTGAAGCGCGCCGAAGGTTTTTTTCCGAACACGACGATCAGTGATTCTGGGAAGGCGCGGAGCAGCGGCGCCCGTGGGGACCGGAGATCGAGGCCACACTCTGAACTGTTGGCAGAGTTCGTTTCCTTTTGGCTCACATATGGAGTGTAATAAGACTTGGCCATATACTGCTCCCTTAAGTAAACTAGAGGGAGGTGTGTTTGCCGAACACGTGCTGTAATATAATTATA